CTCTTTCCCAGCAGTTGCAGAGGGATTAAGCTTTTATTTTTTCACCTATTAAGGCATCTCTTTGGCCATTTGAAAAATATCAACATAATTCATCAGTCAGTTGCCTATATGCAGAGGAGTCTTTGATTTGCCTTTTTATCATGCCCAAATACTAGTCTGCCTTTCCTATGCCTAGCAGATAGAGATATCTGTATGGGAAAATGCAGCCTTATTCAAGACAGAGGGAATAAAGTTGAATCAGAGAGGAAAAAATAGCATTACAGAAATTGCCTAGACTATAAGTAGCCCTTCCGTTGGTGAGGATCAGATACACCTTCCTCTGGCACTTTGCAGTGTCTAGGCTGCATTTTATCTACTTCTGAATCTCAGTTCATTGATAACAGCAATCTCATGTGCAACACTGTCTTCTTTTATCTACAGCTGCACTGTCTATTATAGCAAAGCCTCTTTGATTGACACTTATCTATTTTTTCTGACCTGAGGGTATCCTTATTGCAATTCGCTCCTTTCATCACTGAAACACATAAAAAATCCTCAATTGGTGCATAATGTGGTGATTCAGCATTTGAATGAACATACTGTTGGGAGCAGAGGTGGGTTTTGTTGGTCTGCCACGTCTTAAAGGAAGACAGTTCAAACCATGTTAAATGGTAGAAGTGGCTCAGTGGTCTGAAGCACTGCTGTTTGCAGGGAGTGCTTTGTTCTGCCTGTGTCCAGTTGCTATGACACACAGGGTTTTGTCTGCCTGTTCCAGAGATTTCAACAGTCAGCAAAAGACGTCCCAGTGCACTGCTCTGTAACAGTTTTCCTCTATTGAGGATGAACAGTTTCCTGGTGGAAAAGCACAAACTTCTGCAGGTTGGTTTGTATGATCCATGAACATACAAATCTCAGAATCCTCCCTGTAACCAGGGGATGGACAGCATTCACTTCCTAAGTCCTAGTCTTTTGATACTGAAAAATTAAAATCATATTTTTCATTGCACTTGCTGCTGGTAATTTCCTCCTTCTTCATAACTTTCTATAGCCCCATGTAAGGATTACATTTGCCACTGGGTTCAAATTCCTGGTGAACTCAGATATCAGGCATTTGAAAATTTCTCTCTAAGATGTCAGGGAGGGGAGAAATGGAAGAGGAGCTGGGACTGGCACTTCTTGCACCATTCTTCAGTGAATTTGTGCATCTGAATTCAGTAGGATAGAGAAGCCCTGGAGACCAGGTGTGGCTCAGGGGAGCCCTGCTCACTAGTTGGAGCAGAGAGGATAGACTCATTTGTTGCTGTGGGTAGTGGGACATGTGGAGATGGGGTGAAAAAACCTGGAGATTTTAATGGCTCTTGATACCATCTTTTCCTCTGCCCCATGAAAAATGGCAAGAAGGTTGACCTTCCTTTGCAGCACCTCCAGGCCAGGCCTGGGAGTCCATGGGATGAACAGGGGCTGCACTGGAGCTGCTTATGCAGCTTTTGTTCTGATAGACAAAGCAGGAACCACCTCTGGATCTGTCACCTCTCTCACAGCTTCTGTGGCATTTTAAAACAGTGAACCTTGGAGCATTCTTCACATATAAGCTCTTGGGGTTTGCACAGTCATGTCCAATGTAGGAATGTTTCTAGATGATGTCTATCTCTGGATTCAGAGGTGACACCATGTTTGTATATTGCCTCTCTTACACTACTATCCCCATGATTAAGTCAGAGATCCTGAGTCACCTTCAAAAAAAACCCCAAGATTTCTGGCAAACCTGTAGGCCATCTGTTAATGTGGGCAGGCAAGAAGACACTGGGTAGGAAATCGAAGTCACAAGGCAGTTTTATATCTGTTACCACAGCCATTTCTTTTAAACATGTTAAATGACATTTTAATTATTGACTCAATTATTTTTCTGTAAGAAATTATAACAAACAGCAAGCCTGTAGTGAAATGTTTCCCTGGCAGGAGACCATTCCTCAAAAGTCGCTTTATAGATATGCAACCCCCATCAATATTTTTAAATGCCATTCTTTTTACAGTTAGAGAAACCTTTATAAAAAAATCCCTGGGTTCTCAGGGACTCAGGTGGTAGTATTTGAACTGTGTCACATTCCTGGCACTCCCGGTAATATCAGTGCTGACACACAGTGGCATATAGCAGCTGTCATTTGATGGAATGCAGTAGGAAGTGCCCCAAGTCCAGTAATGTCTACTTAAGATATGTCTTTTACAGTGTAAAGATGCAGTCTGTTACCACTTCTGACAACAACTATGACTCCTTTCTCCATCACTACCAGAAAGCAAGGGACTCCTCAAAATTAGAATCTCTCTGCATTCCCAACCTGCAAAGGCAGGGCTATTCTTAGCAGTTCTCTGTGGATTAATATTCACAACAAACTAAAAATAGCAGGCCAATGCATACATTGATCTGCTGCTCTGACCCTAAAAATCTATGCCTGGCACTGGTTTCTTACATATACTAGCTGTGACCACAAACCTTTCCATGCCTGCACTAATTTTTAATTTCAGAAATAATCTGAAGAGCCAAGTAGTTTGAAGGACTGTGGTGAGTTCCTGAATGGCAAATGCTGCCCAAAAACCTGGTGGTACGAGAAGGTGGTTTGCTAGTCGGTATCGTTTGCAACAAAAATGAAAAACCCCAAAATTACGTCTCTCTTAGAGGAATTCACTGATTAATAGGATATAATTAAACAATGTGTTAGTAAAAGGTATTGAAGACTGACCATCTCTGGCCCTTAATTTTATGCAGGACCCTGAAAAATATTCCTCCCCGCCATGGAAGACTTGTTAGTGGGGGAGAGCACTTTCACAAAGATGTGAATAGCAAAGCAGGTAACTGAAACTTCCCAGGTTTGAAAACTAAAACTGTTTTTGCCTCATGCAGAGAGAAACACTATCCTTTTTAGTTTGTGCTGCTTGGGAAGCCTTCAGAGATGACCAGCAAGCAGTCACCCTGCTGTGAGTAACAAGGCTAGAGAAGTGTTGTGTTCCCTTGGTCCCTCCAACTCTGCAATGAGCTGTTCCTTAATTCTCTATCCTGGCCCTTCCTGCAGCCTCCTGTCCATCTTCCATCACCTCCAAAGGCTTCTTCTCAGAGTGCCAAGACTGGGTAGAATCCAGCCAATCTGTCAGGTTTGGAAGGATACATGATAGAGAATTTATACAGGTTTTGTACTTCTATGTCAGATTCCTCTCAGCATCTGGAGGACAGAGAGTTTCTCAGCTGGCATAGAGTTAGAGCAGCACGTACAGGTAGTACCTGCTCTGGCCTCCAACTTTGTGTGACAGGCAAAGGTGAGCCTGCACAATGGTTGTGTTCTTTAACAGCTTTCCATGTGGTACAGCAGAACTGTTTCTTACCCCATGTCAGAGACCAGATTCTGGATCTCCCCATACTATCTAAGTGTGGCTGAAGGATTTCAAAAGCAGCACAAACCCTGTAATCTGTCCTGAGAAGCCTGGCAAGCCTTGCACATAGAGCATGCCTTGACTTCAGCTCTTGTTGTGCCACAGTGCTGTTTGGCTGGAGACCAGCTACACCTGCTGGAGAGAGAGTCCAGGCTTGCAACCCTGTTGAGAATAATATCCTTTTGGTACACTTAGCAGCAGCAATGTAGTATTGTGAGCTTTTCCCTGAAAGCCCACCGTAGATATACAGCTTCAGGACAGGGTATGTCTGTCTGCACTCTGGCTTAATGTTGCAGATCTTTGGCTTTCTCATATGACCCCCTGCATAGCTGTTCACATATCAGGACTCTAGGAGAGAGCTCTGTTTAATAACCAGTTATCACTAAAGAGGGGAAGCAGGGCATTCATTTTTATGGTGTCATTAGGTAGCAAGAGGATTTCATGACCCCATAGTGAGGAATCTGAGCTGAATGCTGCCTGCAGGCTGTGACCAGGCAACCATATTCACCATGTTGTTCCAAATGTGGCAGATCCTGGAGTGGAAGAAGTAAAAACTTTTCCTGCTTCAGGTGGTGTGAAAGCTTCTACCTAGTGAAACATGGATGGGGCTTCAACCTTTACATGGGACTTGTAAGACTCAGTGGATGTGATTACCTGCTATACATGGTCTCTGGTTTGGGTAATTGTGTATTTTAAATTCTGTTTACTCGTAGCTACCATGCTGAAGTGAAGGTAAAGAACAATGAAACTGGAAAACTGAGAAACCCTCAGTATGGATCACACTGTCCTGCCATATGTGTCCCTCTGTTAAAAGGGAACATCTTTAATTTCACAATTCCCACAAGCACTCACCTTCTCAACGCTGGCTGTTACTGGTGGTTTCCCCCTGCCAGGGTCATGTCTGGAGTGGCTGCCCCTGGGCAAGGGGACAGTGTGGTCCCAGTAGCCAAGCCCCTGCAGGGAGTCTCTGCGTAACTCCGTGGCCCTGGGCTGTCCTTGGCCTCCTGAGGCTGCAGAGAGTCAGCCAGAGAGACAGTGCTGCTGTATGAAGCTTGTGGAAAACTAGCAGGTATGTCTGAGCAGACAGGGTTAAAGAGAGGTAAAAATGTAGGTCTACTAAGAGTTGTAGCAGGGACAGAGTCACCTGGACTGAGATCAAATGGAAAGTCTTTTAAGTATGAGAGTGCTTGATTATTTAGCTGGGCATACTCAAAATTTATTTTCCTTCTCGTGACCTCATCTAGGATATTTGCTCTACTCTTCTGATCTTCAGAGCAAATTTGCTCCCCATTTTGCTTCAGATGATACAGACTGCTGGATTGGAAACCTGACTCATGGTTGTATTGATTTGTGCTAGGAATACTGCAGTATTCTGGATTTTGAGCAATGTGATTGCAGTCATTTTGCAAAAATAACTTATTTTTGTACTGAGACATCTGACAAATTATATTGTTCATTTCATTCCCAATGCATTTGTCTTCCAGGTGCTTGTTTTCATAGCTGATTTGTAATGATGCCACTTGTGTTACACAGTGCTCTAGGAGCTGCACTATGTTAGCACTGCTCTCCATTGGTGTGGGGCTCATGTAGCTTTGAAAGCCCCTGAGGGTAAGAGGCTGGAGTGGTTTGTCACAGGAAATAGTGTGATACATTGGTTTATTCCTGTCTTCCCTCTCCAGAGAATCCAGGAGCGAGGTTGCAGCAGTCTTGTAGGAGTAACATGATTCTACTTCGTGATTATCATCTAGCAAAGGGTTTTCAGAGCTCTGGGAGCCACTCTCTCTGTTCAGCTTTTCTGGTAGTGGGTTTTTTTCTCCAGATGCCTCATATCCTTCTGAAATTGTCTCCTTCTCATTCTCAGTTGAAGACGTCTGCAGATTGTCTCCATGAGCCTGTGATTGTGGTGCATAACTTGATGATCTGGTGGTTTCCACAGTCCCAGGAGCTGTAGATGAATCCTTGTGGTGACTCCTTATCTCTCCTTGGAAATCCAAATTACATGTGTCTTGGCAAGAGCCCAGGCTGAGGTCTCTTTCAGCAATGTTTACTGAAGAGGCCTGTGTTGCATGTTTGCCTTCATCCAAAGACACACATGGGTTAAATGTGTTACATTCTTCCTTGCTTGGTTTCTCCTGCTGAGCTTCTGTGCTCACCTTCTGCTCTGGACTAGGACTGGGCAGGATCAATGAATCATTACATTTTTCTGGCCGTGATTGAGGACTCTGAAGAGAGTCAGGGGAGGAAACAAGTCCTGCGTGTTTTCTAAGCCAGTTTATTATCCCCATGGTCAAGGAAAGCTCAGTATCACAGAGCTTTAGCAGACATTCTTTGCCTTTCCATGTGCTGTGAAAAAAACCCTGGCTGATAATGTCTAGAGCTGGTTGGGAAGCCATGTTCTCCTCAGCTCCAACATGAAAGCTGTAAATGGACAAAGGGATTTCAATTGCTTGCTCTGAAATGCTTTCAGATGTGCACAAATCATCATCTAGGATAGGATTTATTTTGACTTCATTTGGGTCATAGAATAGCTCATAAAGGGCATCTCCACTGTAGCTGTCTCTTGGAAATCTACCTGGGAGTGCAGGGGTCTGAGCTTCCTTCATCTCATCATCTTGTCCAGGAGAGAAAGAATCATAGTAGCCTTCATCACTTGTGGAAGTAGATTCCTGGTTGTCACTTTTTGGCGTTCCTGTCTCTGTGAAGCTGTCTTTGGAATTGTCACCTTCTTCATCAGTTGTCACTTGGGGGTCTGTCACAGGTGCAGCAGCCTGGCTTCTAGCCTTTTCCATGCCAGGACCAGGTGTCTTCAGTAACTTCTTATCAAATAGAGCACTCTGATGTAGCCTTACTGATTTGTTGATGTTGTCCCAAAATTTTGCAAATTCAATGGTCTCGTTCTGGCCAGGAGAGGCCAGCTGTTCCACACCCCCTTGGAAAGAGCCCATGACTGGGCTGTCTTTATGCTTGCTTCGTCTAAGCAGAACTTCTTTGCTGTTCTCCAGCTCCATATGAGCAGAGCTCTCATCAGCAAAGATTTCCCCACAGCCAGTGAGGGAATCAAAGCTCTTCAGCGAGGCAACATCTTCACACAGGACATTGCAGCAGTCATAGGAAGAGTCAGACTGCAGTTCACTGTCTGAGCAATCTTGTGACAAGCAGTCTGCTGCAAATGTTTCTCCAGTTTTGAAAAGGTATTTTGCAAGACGCCCAGACAACTCACTCTTGCAGCCTGGAGAGGACAGATTCTTGTCCTTCTCAACCAGGATTGTGAGGCTTTCTGGTTTATTTTTTTTTATATGAAATATATCTCGGAGCCCTTTCTTAGATCTTTTGAGGGAAATCCTCTTCCTGGGAATGGTTTTTGCAACAGCTGGTACAAAAGGCATCTGTGGCACAAAGTTCCTGTAATCAATCATCTGACTGCTGCATGCAGACTGGCTGGGGGGGACCC